GCTGCCTCCGCTTCCCCGTCGGGGGCTCCCTTTCCTGCCCTCATGCTTTCAGTTGCCTCTAAACGCGTTCTGTCCGCTGCCCGTGCCTGAGCCGCTGGTGGCTTGGCACAGCGGTCGGGTGTCGCGGATTCCTTACCTGCAGCAGAGAGGACGCCGGTCTGTGGTGGCCCGGCCAGCAGCGTGAACTCCTCTGTGTTGGGGCACCGGGGCAGGGAGGGCGGCCAGCGTCTATGAGGAAACACAGCTCTTTCTTTTGCAAAGGTGCTGAACACCTGCATTTCCTCCTGGCCTTGAAGGAGGAATTACCTGTCCTGCCCCTTTTATGGTCCTGTAATAAAAGCTGGGGAAAGGTGGAAAACCTTAGCTTGCTTCCTTCTGAAGAATCAACTCTAGGTTAACCACGTGTATTGTTTTTTATAATTATGTCTGTATAAGTGGTAAGTATATCTGGTGCTGAATGTTGCTCTGTGTCCTGTTCTTAAAATTTGGATTTCTTCCTGTCTGGCTGGGGTTTTTTTAGAGAAAGTAAGGAAGAAATAAACTTACAGACTGGTAACACTGGCTTACAGGCACATAAGTAGGCCCCAAGTCTGCCCAACATGTGTCTGCTGGTACAGTAATTGAAAGCAGTTAAACTAGTGAGACTTCTTCCAAATGACAATACAAGGAAGGAACATATTTTTACTGTAGTTCAAAACTAGTAACAATTGTAGTGTACTTATAGGTATACTGGCAAAAGAATACTTTGCCTGGTGTAAGCTGTTAAGAAATCCATCGAGGTAGTAGTGGAAAGAATGTTTTGTGGTTTTGTTTTTTGGGGTTTTTTTGGTCTGCATAACTTGTGATTACTGGGGAGTGGAGGAGGGTTTCCGAACTAGAAGATACTAGCAAAACCTTTGTAATTGAGACAATGTTAGTGTCTCCGAAGTCCTAAATTTTGACTGTAGCATCTAAAGTGAGGGATGCTGTATTTCGCAAAGAGCACTGGGAAGCATGCTGCAAAGCTGAGAGCTCCCATCTGTTTTAGCATGTCCTTACAGTAATCTTTTGCTTTCTTGGCTGATAGGTGGAGTTGACCCAGATTTGAAAGCCGCCTACAACTCTTTTATGAAGTCATGTGAGAAAGGTGGGAAGAAGTCAGTAAATGCATGTCATAACATTGGGCTGTTGGCCCACGATGGGAGAGTAAATGATGATAAACCTGACCCCGTTGTCGCTAGAGACTATTACACAAAAGCCTGTGATGGCGATTTTGCTCCCAGCTGCTTCAACCTCAGTGTAATATACCTCCAAGGAGCACCTGGGGTCCCTAAGGACATGAGCCGTGCTTTGAAGTACTCGCTGAAAGGGTGTGAGCTGGGTCACATATGGGCTTGTGCCAATGCCAGTCGAATGTACAAACTGGGAGATGGCATTGAGAAGAATGATGCCAAGGCAGAGGATTTGAAAAACCGGGCAAAACAGTTACATAAAGAACAGAAAGAAGCTTCAAGTTCTTTAATATTTGGGGAGTAAAACTGTCAGTTGCAGTTATTAAGACTGCAGTTTTAAATGACAAGTGAACTTGTTATTTAAATTGTGACCATACAGTTTTCTTTCATAATAAATAAGTATCCTGTGATTATTTGCATATGCAAATAAACTTCTATTTTTGTGGATGCAACAAACATGACCAACTCTGCTGTGCCTTTCTACTTTTTTAAATACACAAGTTCTTAAGTGTATTGCTTAGACCCTCCTCTTCAGGGAAGGCAAAAACTTGTGGCTTTTTGGAAGTTTGTCCCCATGGTTTCAAGTGTGAAAGGGTCTCATGTCTAGCACTTCAGTATTGAGGCTTGTGCTTGGACCACTTCTAACACACACACAGAGACAAAATCACAGTTGCAAGGTAATCCCAGCTTGGACATTCAAAACTCTGCCATCTCTCTTACAAGCAGTTGTGGATCTTTGGTAGTGGGCACACTTGGGTGGTCTGCTCTAAGGCTGCTTTGTAACAGGATGGCTTGAGAAACTTGAGTAGGTTTATTTGCTGAAGGTATTGTTATCTTAAGGTTGTATTTAGACTTGCTGATTTAGTTGCTTTGTCGTCATACCATCAAAACAGCCCTTGTAACTAGGGGGAAAAAAGAGATGACTTGTTAAAGGGAGAAATAATTTGATGTCTTGCTGACTTTTAAATTATATGTTTAATGTCATAATTTCATCTGAGAAGTTTTGATTTCTCAATTCAGTCTGTAGGTTTTACAGGCTGTCAGTATAATTATTTCATTTGTGCAAATGTTTATTGTTTGATTGTAAATCAATGTTATGGAATTATTGGATGTACTCTGATCTCTAAATAATTAACTGTTTAATTGGAGCCAAGCCAAAAATATCTTGTCCAAGAACATCTTCAGTAAAAAACTGCATTCAGGAAAAAGGGCCAGGTGGGAAAGCTATGAAGAAACTGAGGGGTGGATCACTTCAGCATAGAAGTAAAAGCTGTTCTGTAGCAGTGTGGAGTCTTGGGATGGAGTTGTACTAAGCTGCTGTCTTCTTAAATGGAGGTCTAGCCTACAAAATTGAAACAAGTATCTCTTGGGTGACAGTATTTCCTCTCTGAAAAGGAGTTTAGAAAGCAAGGGGGTCTGTTCTGAACGTCGTGACTCAATGGGAGGGTCCTCCTTATCCCCTGCATCCACGATCTCTCCGTGAATCATTCTAACTCAAGTGTAACTTAATTTTCCTTTGTGCACTTCCATGTAGTAATAGAGTGAACCTTGCCATCTTCGAATCTTTAACTAAGTTGCTGTTTTGATTAATTTTGTCTAATCACTTTGTTAATCGACTGATGATTGAGTGCTATTAAAATATCACAATCATATCCTGCGATTTGCTGCAAGTAAATTCTGAACTGCTACTTAATAACTGTGTAAAGTCACTCATTCATGACAAATTAACATAGTCAGCAGGATCCACAAATCTGCCTTCATGACAGTATCTCTCAATCTGAAAAGAGAGAAACAACTGCCTTGGTAACCGAGAATGAAAAATTACTTTGAGAGTTCATCTACAACACATGGGATGTGGCACTCCAGTGCAAGTGCTGGGTGCTGCACTCAGTTGCTGGGTTTATGCTGTATAAGTTCAGAACGCAGGAAGAGTTTCTGTTAGAGCTGCTAACAATATGGGCTCTCCAGTCCAAAATGAACATTATGCCTGAAGGATCAGCAGATAGTTCTGGATGCTGAGAGGATGTCAGCTTGCTTGGCAAGTTAGCAAAGTACATGCATTTGTGTGCTTCTCGGCATTTCAACTTGCATACAGCCATTGCAACAGCTGAAATTAAAGAATGATTTCTAACTAATTTTTACTATTTTTTTAGGAGGAACAATGAAGTAAGTATGTTAGTATGTTTCCTGCTACCTACTGCTTAAAAAACTCAGAATGTGCCAGATTTGCACAAACAGCAGCTGGCTCACTCTTCCACCTCTTAGGCTGTGGCTTGAAAGTCAAGTTGTTTAAGTTCTCTTTGTTCTTTCAAAGCTGTTCTTAAACATCTCCGTCACTGAAGCCTCACTATACTGAGAAAGCTTCAAAGTGTGTTAATTGATTTATGCAACTCCAGTATCACTCTTAAAGGCAGCATCAACAAAGCTTACTACAAGTGTCTTGGAAGGAAATATTTTTTTATTTAAACTGAGATGTTTTAATATTTCTAAATCCAAAATTTAATTTTTACATTTATAATGGATTTTGGATAAGTAAGGGTAATAAATCAACAAAAGATGCAAACTGAGAGGAAATCCGGAAGATTAATTAAGTGTACAAATAAATCTTGTTACTGTATGATTTTTTTCTTGGTTTGCATGTGACAACCTTGAGAGAACAAGTGAAAGAAAGTCCTTGCATATATTCTATGTCAAATGTATTGAACAGTATCAGCAGCCAGTTTCACGATGGCTGTACATAATTTTTATTGTGGAATTATATTGCTTCTAGATTTCTGTGGTACATGAAGTAAGAATATAGGAATAGTCTGTGGAATATAGGAGTATATATATCTGTATATATACAGAAATAGCCTGTATTTTGAATATAAAAATCCATGGTGACCAGTGCAAATAAGCTTCAGTGCATTACAGCATCAAAGATAACAAAGAGCAATCATACACTGTGAGTTAAGTTCTGAAAAATTAGTCCATAACATCAATGCAAATGTTTATAACCAGGAACTGTAATTCTGTACTGGGCTGAGGCTGAATAGCTTGCTGCCTTGTAAAGGTTTCTGCCCTTCAGAGACTGCCATGAATCCTGCACACTTTCTGAGCTAACCTCCTGCTGGAACAAGCACAGATTTTGAGCTGCTTTCACATGATGTTTAAGTCTCACCACTTCCACTTTAAAACCATGCTTATTTTGCTCTCTTTGGCCACAGAAATACTGTCCTCTGCTTGTACTGTTAATTTTGCTAACTGTGAGAAGTTCGTCCAGGCTGCGTGTTGATCCTGGGCAGTGCCTCTTGCTGTCTGTGATGCTTCCAGGTCCAGGGGAGGCATGAGGCTTCAGGTCCTGAGCATCTTTTCACTGGTCAGCTTACATCTAGAAACATTTAAGTCACGTTCAGATGATGCCAAGCCCAAAATAGTCATGAGCCTGTATGGCAATGTGTGCACAGAGACATCTATGCCTATAGACCTTGTGAATGAAATAGGCAGGAGAGGCAGAGGCAGGAGAGAAAGGAACTTAATTAGCTTTGCTGGGCAGATAAGCTACAGGGGCAGAGCTTGAGAGTTGCCCCGGATTGTAGAAGAAATACATAAAAGAGCTAGGAATTGGCCTAGATCTACTGAATTACAGATAAGTATCCAAGATGGGGGATTCCCTTTCAGACAAGGCGAGCACACAGGTTTTAAATACCTTTAGCCTGAGTGTTGTTTTTAGCGTCTTGCCAAGTGGTTTGTCACTGTGTATGAGTACCATGTGTGCCTGACTGCTTTAGGATTGCTCTGCAATGTACACTGATCACCCTTTATTCGATTACACATACATTTTTTTACTTTCCTGCCAGCTTCTGAAACATTATGTTCTATTTTTTATAATACAGATTTAGGGAACAAGGTGCTAGCTGATCAGATTTTGGACTCAAATCCATAGCTTATATGTATGCAAACCGCAACTAAAGATACATATTCTGAAACAGCAGTCTAAATAAGTAGAACAGTATATGTAAACGTATTCATGCACTGACATCATCTTTTATAATTTTGGTGTGTATAAATATATGTGAAGTTTGTGATATGTGTGTGTACGTTTTGCTGTAAAGTTACTGCTGATTCAGAACATGAATGCTCTGGCTATGGTCTGAATAAAGATACAAGCTTACTATTGAAGTAAGTTAAGTGGGAGAAAAAACACCAGTAATTTGGCTATTGCCACCATTGAAAGCAGAATCTCATTGCATGCTGTCTCAGGCAGAGCATGTGAGAATGAAAGCAGTTCTTCCAACTTAACTGCACTTTTAACAGACTTCTTGGAAGGGATATGTTTACTGCTGGAATAAAAACCCCAGCGGTGTTCTGTAGTGATGGAACGGGTACGCTGTAACGACAGATGGCAGTATATGAAAACCATTCTTGCATACTGTGCATGTTAAGACCTATGGCTCTTTTTTTCACTGGTCTGAAAAAAAAACCCCAGCAGTGGTGACAAAAGTGAGATTCATTTTTCTATTAACACGGTTAATATTTTATGGCAGTTCAAGAAGGTAAAGCTCTTTTAGAGGAACACACTTTGCCTGATTCTGTGCTAGGTACTATTCTGGGCTTTTGTTTCACTTGGGAAAGGTAAGTGAATGCTACCCCTTTGGAGTGTAACAGTCTCGTAATAAAACAGTTGGGAAGTCGTGTACAGAGTAAGCAATTACAGGTGGCTCAAGGCATTGGAGAATTGGGTGACATTTTAAGCCCTGATCTTTTTTTTTGAGTTTGTAATGCTCACTGCCTCTGAGTGGCTTGTTTAGATCCTCAGTCCAAATGAAACTGCTGCGCTAGAACAGGCTTTCTTCCACGAGGACTAATGATTGTCAGTGATCCCCCCGGGGAACTTGCAGTCAACACAGCAAACAGGCAGCTGGGAACATCCTGAATAAAAGTGTCACATGTTGCAGATAATTAAAGCCACATATAAAGTGCATGTTGCAGGGAGGCTTTTTCATAGCACTTGAGAACTCAGAGACTTGCAGAGCTTAAATATTATACCATGAACTATTTTCACAAAAGCTGTCAAGCATGTTAGTAAAGGTAAGGTTATGAAGTATCATCCAATTTTGTACCACCAGTTGAAAAGGCAAACCCAAATTAAGAAAGGATCTTTTGTTACACTAAAACACTTGTCAAAAACAGTTTAAAGTGTTTTCAGGCTGTCTCTGAACAGTTTGCTGCCTGTTCCAGACACACCTACATCTCTTTTACACAGATATCGATGATGCTGTAACAGATGCATTAGATGGGTAAGGCCCTCTCCTATTTGACTATTTTCCCTCCAAAGAGACAAGCATTAAAAAAAAAAAAAAAATCAGCCAGTCTCATTTCAGTGTGTTATAAATAATATGTGGTTAATGCAGTCTATAGCAGAGACTATAGACTCTACTAATAGCATTGTGTTCTCAACCTAGAGATTATGTGCAGGAGACGTAATCAAAATCCGCTGAGAGGTGA